TCTTCGCACATCTGAGGGTTCCTCAGATTAGCTAAAATCGCTGGTCTGAGTAAATTTTAGATTCAAAATCTGAGGTATTTTTGGTAGTCCTCCACTTGTTAACTGTATATCGGTGGCTCACCACCATCGCCCGCCAGGTGTTCCACGATACAGAGGTCACGTGGGGGCACACAGTCCATATCGCCGTCCCTTGGCAGCTGCCGTTTAGCACACTACAAGGAGACATTTGGAGACTGGCTACCCAAACAAATGCGGTAACGTTAGAATAGTTTCAACCCACCCAAACCGACCCGAAACCATCCCATTCTCCGTACCCATGGCACAACGGAAATACCTTAAGGTCTTTCGCCCTTCAATGACTGTAGCGACACCGCTACAAAGCGATGTTTGGAGCAGAGCTCAGTACCGTGTGATACCTGTCGATTACTGCTTCTACCATATGCAGTTAACTGATCCAACGTGTATGCAATGCCCTTACGGCGGTCGCGGTCTCAACCTCCCAATACGCTCTGCACTCGTGCCCACAGAGACACCCTGTCTCAGACACTATCCGAACCTTGGCATTGAGTTATGAATGGAACATTCTTAATCAACCGTGAAACTGACGCTACCCTGGTCGTATGCGAAGGAGGTGCTTAAGACTCTATGGACTATGCTCACCGGTGGCGCCGTGCAGCGCCTGTTGATCTACCGCAATAAGGTGAAATATGAAGGAGCGCCGGCCCCACATGTCCCAGCCACGGTGGGGCTGACCCTCCTGCAATGGTCCACCCAAATCCGAGGACACCTGGCACTCCCGTCAACCATGGATGAGGAGCGCGAGCGCCTCAAGACCATTTTGCGCCGACTTGGGGAGCATGCTACCGCGGTTTTTGACGAAATATCCCTTTCACTTTTCGGTCAATCCGGTCCGCACTTGGAGTCGTTTGCATGATGTGCAAATAAATCGAAACTGCAGTCAATGCAATATCGGAACAAATATTCATCTGGTACAGAATACCACTATTAATACAGTGCTGGCAATAAGTTTAGGACCACCTAGAAATAGGACAGGTTAGCATACTCAAGTAGTTAATCTCTGAATTTACAGACATTCTAGCAATACCAAGGTCACTTGCAAACCATCTTGGTATTTCTTGCAAAATGGCGCCGAGTGCTCGCTCATCACCCCATGCTGAAAAAACGTCACATCACAAAAAACCACATCGCAAAAGTAGTATAAAACCACCCTGTCATTTAGCACTAAAAACTCGTTTCATATGCTCCTCTTGGTGAGTTAAACTGATCCTTGATTTCAATACATCATCATTGCATGCCAGCGGGACCCAAGCTCACGGAGGATTTTGGCCCTCAACGCCGTCGGCAATGGCCAAAGAGTGATAGAACGACTTAAGAGGTCGCTCTCGAAGTGTTATTGTTTTGTTTTTAAGCAACCAAGCATCCTACAATGCCAACAAGTGTACTGGGACGGACGGAATGCAACGCCCACCGAAGATTTTTGAGTATCAGAATAAATTTCATCCAATAATACTCAAGATTCGAAATACTCTTCTCTTATTGGTGGAATTTTTATTCTTCGCGCCAGCGGGAAAAACTTGGCTTTCAAAAAATTACGTGCACATCGAAATATGAGGCGCGCGTCGTATCCGATCTCAACTAAGCTAGAAGCCATCGGCCTACTTGAGACCTTATCTGGTTGAGAGGTGGCGAAGCTAATGGGCGTCCCACGACGAACTGTACGATCATGGTACGCTCAGCGCTTTGAGCTCCTTTCCTTCGATGGCAACAAGAAGAACAAGAAGATCGAACCAGGTGGACGATACGAAGAGTTCCCAGACCCACCAGGTTTAGTAGGATTTATAAACAAAACGAGAGATGACGAACGTGCTCTAACGACGACTCACATGATCACC